TTTTATTTTTTTTATTTTAAAAAATTTCATATTTTTATGGACCAATACAACAATCCATAAACAATAAACAGTAATTTATTTACTAAAACACCATAAAATGCAGAGATTTATATGAACATTTTTGTTTTGTCACATCTATCTATTTTTATATATCTATATCAACAAATGTCAACACATCCAGTCTATCGTAACTATTTAGTATATTGCACAGTCCTGTCCCTCAGTCTCGATATAATCATTTGAAACCAATAAACAGAAGGTCTTTCAATAAGCAATTCTTCACAATCTAAGACATACACAAGAGAACCTAGTGGAGCTGTAACAGCTCACATAGAGATTCTCTGATCTGCATAACCATCCTGTGCTAGTCCCAGAGGTGCAACTCACACCTAAGTACCTGTTTCACACATGGAGCTGCTCACCCCTGCAGGATGTGTGGAATGTAAATGACTTTTAATACTTGGATTAAAAAGTAAAAAGCACAAAAGCTAAGCGATACCAAATCCTCTGATCCCAGTCTCATAACATACAGCCTAGCTTGAGGAACACTTTTAACCCACATACATGGCTATGTGTCCGATACATATCTGACCTAATAATAGCAGCGAGATGATTTACTAGCGGATGGAGGAAAATGAGGTTGAGGTGCTTCAAGGTACAAATGAATAAAGTCACCACAAAAGATATTTAGTGGTGACGCTCACCCTTCTAGTGTTATCCAGGACGAGGGGGTCGGGCCGGCCGTAGTTGGGAGGGTTGGCGTGGGGATCATAGCTGAGCCTGGCCAGCATGGGGGCAATGACAGGCATGTCCCGCAGCACATCTGGGGGAATCTTACCCACCCACTTGGATAAGGCCTCCACGTTGACAGGCTTGATCACCTGGTCTGTAGATCTCTCTACCCTGTGGAGCAAAAGAAGTGTGTCAGTGGAGCAGGAACATGTGCACAGGTGCTTTACCGTCTTACCGCTGTGGACTAATTGGGTCTAATTAGATTGAGCAATGCAATTAAAGATAGCTCCCCTGCAGGATGTGTGGAATGTAAATGACTTTTAATACTTGGATTAAAAAGTAAAAAGCACAAAAGCTAAGCGATACCAAATCCTCTGATCCCAGTCTCATAACATACAGCCTAGCTTGAGGAACACTTTTAACCCACATACATGGCTATGTGTCCGATACATATCTGACCTAATAATAGCAGCGAGATGATTTACTAGCGGATGGAGGAAAATGAGGTTGAGGTGCTTCAAGGTACAAATGAATAAAGTCACCACAAAAGATATTTAGTGGTGACGCTCACCCTTCTAGTGTTATCCAGGACGAGGGGGTCGGGCCGGCCGTAGTTGGGAGGGTTGGCGTGGGGATCATAGCTGAGCCTGGCCAGCATGGGGGCGATGACAGGCATGTCCCGCAGCACATCTGGGGGAATCTTACCCACCCACTTGGATAAGGCCTCCACGTTGACAGGCTTGATCACCTGGTCTGTAGATCTCTCTACCCTGTGGAGCAAAAGAAGTGTGTCAATGGAGCAGGAACATGCACACAGTCTTACCGCATTGGACTAATTGGGTCTAATTAGATCAAGTAATGCAATTAAAGAAAGCTCTAGGCTAATATGATGCTTCAAACGAACGGCCTTTCATTCTCCAAGATCATCTCTCAAATGCATCACATTTCATATTCCACTCTATCTTTGTATTTGATTGAGGTACAATGACATTGATGGATGTTTCTTGATTTGCTAGTCTAGATGTATAAATTTCAGCACAACCTGGCAGAGTGTCAATGGCTTTATGCTGAAATAAATGAACTTACCGGTTTTATTGAACCCCAATAAATAATTATAGTCTAGTTTTTACTGCTTACGGTAGCGCATATTCCACTTTCTAACTTGCTAAATAAGCTGCATAACCATAAAATGTATGTGGATTCAAATTTGCAGAGATATTAAAAATGAATCCGGCATTACGTCACACCCTAGGTAAAATATTCATATGTCTGAAATGAAATATTTACAAAGCCATGAAAAAAAACAGTACAAGTCAGGTTTTTGTTTAGAGAGAACACATAGGAGTGGCTTACTTGTTAGGAGAGGTTAGTTAAGTGATAGGTTACCTATCACTGATATTTGCATAGGGATGAACCTTTTTTCCAAGAAAATTGGAAAATCTACTGGACGCCCATCATTGTTCCATTATGACAGCAGATGGGAACTACAAATATTGGGTCAATCCCACAAAGCCTGTCAAGAACATGTGCAGGTTATATTACCCTTGAAAATCAAAAGAAAATAAATTATATTTTGCATTTATATTATTTTCTTGACAATTTAGCACATTATCTCGCCATCTCATTAAGATAATTAGGTAATCATATATCATTGTAATATGTGTATATTATTTTTAATTGTTAATTTAAAAAGTATTGTTTTAAGTGGAGATACAAATAAATTGCAAAATGATAAAATTGCTAATAAAATAAAATAAATGGTCTTTTGACTAAATACAATTTCTTATAAAACATATATAAAATAATATAATATATATATACAGTGAAACTGAAATATGACCTGGACATGTTCTCAAAATTAAAAGAAAATAAATTATATTTTGCATTTATATTATTTTCTTGACAATTTAGCACATTATCTCACCATCTCATTAAGATAATTAGGTAATCATATATCATTGTAATATGTGTATATTATTTTTAATTGTTAATTTAAAAAGTATTGTTTTAAGTGGAGATACAAATAAATTGCAAAATGATAAAATTGCTAATAAAATAAAATAAATGGTCTTTTGACTAAATACAATTTCTTATAAAACATATATAAAATAATATAATATATATATACAGTGAAACTGAAATATGACCTGGACATGTTCTCTGTGAGATGGTCTCTTTCTCTGTTTTTCCAACTTACAATGGATCTGCTCTTGTTTGGGCTGAGATGACTGCAGTTGGAGACGGATGGAGTCATTGAGGCCATACTCTCCGATGTTTTTATTATTTCTTCCCTCATAGAGAGGATTGGCTCCACATGGGAAACAGATTACTACACTCAATCCCCATCTGCAGCCAAGACACCGGGGAACGCCAGCTCCACTGCCACCCCACTTCAGAGTGCTGTGTGGATCCAGTGCAGAACACACGTGCATGTGCATGTTTGCATGTGCATGTGTTAAAACAAGTGAATGACCCAGCAGTCAGTGTGACAACCTGACTCGTCATGCCTTCTCAAACATCACTCATAGAACCGTGACAGGAAGTGATGGGAAGTCCGATCCTTTTGTGCAAACTGTTTTTTCAGACAGCTTGTTTCAATGAACACGCTTCACCAGTTTATGTAATCATGCAATGACATCACGTATAAACAATGTTATAATTAAAGCACTTAATGATGTGAAATGATTTATTAGAAATGATGATCATATCAGCAGCTCATCAATTTCAGGCATGTCTGAGTCTGAACTGTTTCCGGTGACTCCAGAACTGTTGAAACCATTATCCGACACTTGACTCGAGAGAGAACCGCTGTTAGTATACTACAGTTGACACAAGAACTACCATTGGATCTTTGGGAACATACAGGAAACATATTTCCTATGTTTTATTTGTTATACATGCTGTTCAGCAAAAGACACCAGAAACATACATTTCGCCGCCCCACTTCAGAGTGCTGTGTGGATCCAGTGCAGAACACACGTGCATGTGCATGTTTGCATGTGCATGTGTTAAAACAAGTGAATGACCCAGCAGTCAGTGTGACAACCTGACTCGTCATGCCTTCTCAAACATCACTCATAGAACCGTGACAGGAAGTGATGGGAAGTCCAATCCTTTTCTGCAAACTGTTTTTTCAGACAGCTTGTTTCAATGAACACGCTTCACCAGTTTGTTTATGTAATCATGCAATGACATCACGTATAAACAATGTTATAATTAAAGCACTTAATGATGTGAAATGATTTATTAGAAATGATGATCATATCAGCAGCTCATCAATTTCAGGCATGTCTGAGTCTGAACTGTTTCCGGTGACTCCAGAACTGTTGAAACCATTATCCGACACTTGACTCGAGAGAGAACCGCTGTTAGTATACTACAGTTGACACAAGAACTACCATTGGATCTTTGGGAACATACAGGAAACATATTTCCTATGTTTTATTTGTTATACATGCTGTTCAGCAAAAGACACCAGAAACATACATTTCGCCCCCCTTAGTCAGTCCTCAAACAGTTTGCATGTTGCAAATGTGCAAAAGACTGTTCTTGTCAGTTCAGTGTACTTTTGGACTAACTGGAGCCCTGAATGAGTTGCCAAAAACCGGCATCATAGGATACTAGCCCATTTTGAGTCGAAATGATGGTCAGGTACGTCCAAAGTGATTCAATAACTTGAAGATCTATGCTAACTTGAGCCAAGCCGTTTCAAACGGTTCAGTCCAATTTGGTGAAATGGTTCATGCGGTTCACTAAAAAGAACTGGTTCAAAAGAACGATTCGTTTGTGAACTGGACATCCCTACCTATGACTGAAGACAGTCATGTGCTGCCATATGCTCTTCATAAATACAAACTTAAGGTCTAATACTTTGTGGTATGTATTTGGCAATCTAAAAATCTTAAATCAAAGGACATCTAGTCCTTGTCTCCTCTTATTCCTGGAATGTAGGAACACAGCGGTCTATGAGTTATTGAATTCACCTTCCCATCACACCCTCCCTAACCTCAGCGTTAGAGACCTGGCTTTCTCCCCAGGCACCACAAAGTCCATTTATACTGGCAAGCCGTTCCGCTGTACATTTCATTGTTCAAGTCCCTGGCCGACGCAGTTCTTCACTTCTCTAATCCATTTACATTGGAATTGCACTTCGGCTGCAACGTGATTAATAGATTTACTGTTTCCCAGGACAGAGAGGACTGTTTTCTTTCTTAGCTACAGTTATTTTCCTCAGTGGAAAACTCAAAATCATTCATTTAAAAACAGAAAAAGCAAGCACACGTAAGCGTGGACAGGAGGAAAAGCCATTTCTGACAGCCTGGCAGTGGATGCGTCATGCCATTCTCTAGAAAATAACATCCTCTGTTCAGCAGTTGCTATGGCCAACACATGCCAAACATGCAGTCTGCCTGCGCTGACGCTAATTGGTATGAATCTCTTTATGATACATAGCTGACACCCTCTGAGGTGAGATTTGCATCTGTAAGCTTTGTAAAAGCACAAATACTGTATAAGAGGAATGAGAATGGCAGGGATGTGTTGCTGCAGTAGCCACAGAACAACGATGCAGATAAGCTGTTTGATTTAACCAGAAGTGCTTAAGCTAATATCCCATATTTCAAATTTTATAAAAATAATGGTGATTAATGAATCACATTATGCATTTAGCAGACGCTTTTATCCCAAGCAACTTAAAACAGAGGAACATAAGCAATTTATCACAGAGCCAACAATATGCAAACAAACAAATGCATATTAGCTGAATTTTTTTTAAATAATTTAAAGCTGGCAAAGAATATGATTTGCATTTTGGTATTTCAAGCCTTAACTGATCACTAATAAAGAATATTAATACATAATATTCTTATTTTAATGATATAATTTATTAATATAATATTCAAATGTCAATAATAATATATAAATTAATATTAATATATTAATATACAGTCACCACTGATAAGTTACCACTAAATATTGTAGAAACTTAATTTGCTGTAAAGTTGCTTTGCAACGATTTGTATCGTGAAAAGCGCTATACAAAAAAAAAAAACTAATGATGCACAAATGTAAAAATTCTGGCTAATATTGATAAGTAAATTTTCATGGCCGTTATGGCTGATAATATTTTGTCTAAATAAATTAAAAATCAAACACGAAAAATTTGAATCAATCATTTTAAAAGTGATTTTAGGAATAACAACAT